AAAATAGGATTGGCATGCAAAGGCCGGCACACCTCAAAGGGACCACATATTATTATGTCTTAAACATAAAGTAATAAAACCACACTGAAAAAAAATAACAATGTCTCCAACATGAATACAAGAAAAAGACCAAACTGAAAGAGAATAACAATGTCTCAACCTAAAATACAACAAGAAAACCGCACTAAAAGGAAATGAGGAATGGAAATCTAAGTGGAGGATCCTAGCCCATGTTCAAACTTAAGCCAATTGAGCTTCACCTCAGGTTCCTTAAAAGCCATAAATGCGTCTCTCTTACACTTGTCTAACAACAAGTGAACCGAAAAGAAATACAACTCGCTTCCAGTTTGTAATCCTGGTAATGAATCTAGAACTTCAACAACTTTTGCCATGCTACAGTTTCCAGTGTCAGATGGCGCAATCGATGATCCAGTACTTCTACTCTCAACTATATCGACAAGGCGATCAATTTGTTGAGACAATTTAGCAGCCCCTCCAACCTTCACATTTCCTTTTCCTTTCTTGACTTTATTTTGTCTCTCATCTCTCTCAATTGGCCTCTTATTCTTACGGGCTTGTGCCAATTCACTTCGGATTGGTTCACCTGACTCACCACTACTCTCAAGTTGTTCAGGTAGACTAGATTTATCATTTTCACCTTTATCAGACTCACATGGCACTTGTCCAGAAGATGGTGTCCAAGCATACACTCCTGTGGCCACAGTATTCATGAACATCCTATTTAACTTTTCTTCTAACAGTGGTTCAATTCCCCGAGTGCGAAACCTCGCTGCGTTGGGATGAATCTGCAAGAGCATTTGAAAAAATTAAACCTGCCTAGTCCAATACTAGAATAAAGAATGACAAATCCTATAATTCTGTATACCTGCAATTTATTATGCCACCACTCCTCAGATGCATCAATAGTATTCTTCTTAATGTTCCAACCTAGACCAGTTTCTTTACTAATAAGTTCCTTCCAAAGCTTCCAATCATTCTTCAAAGCATCCCATTTATTCTTCAATTGTTGTCTTTTATATACTCGTTTGGTTGCTTCATTAAATTTCTGAATTAAATTTTCCCATCCAACTTTATCCAAATGAGTTCCAGGACGGCGTCCAGCTTCCACCTCTATAATACACAAATCACAAAACACATCCACAGTCTCGGGGTCCCATATTGCTTTACCTTGTGGTATACT